GTAGGATATTTCTAATTTGCTGTATGTTATCCCAATCCCTTTCCCCTCTAGTTCAAGGGTGTCTGTAAGAATGCAAGTTGGATAACATAATGACATCGTTCCTGTCAAAAGCAATATAATCAGTTAACAAGAAAACAACTTACGAACATTGGTCTTCAGTTCTTATGGAGTAACAACTTATTTGTAATAAACCTCAGAACCAGTTGTGAATAACAGTGTCTCTAACATAGCACTGCATAGCCACTGTTTTAGAGTCAAGAATGCAGATGAATGACCTGCAGACAGGAGCCACACATAGGCAGCCTTGAAATTGTCCCTCAGTGTTTGCCTTAGAGGTCGGCAGTAGAGGGAGCTCCCATTGACACCAAGGTGAAAGCATTCTGTTGAACTGGAGGCCAAAGGGAGCTCCAGAGCCTTGGGAGATGAGTCAAGTCTTTGCCCATTTTCTTCCCTGTTCCTATGAGGTGGCTGGAGCTGGCTCCTGGAGCGGACCTGTCTCCGTTATTCTTTCGGATCCTCTTCCTCTTCTTGCTGTATACTAATGATCTGTAGGCATCTGAGCACAGACTACCATCTCTGGATCAGAAAAGGCACATGTCATTGCTGGAAGCAAGCAAGGCCAGTTGGTGTTTAGCCTTGGAGTCTCAGAGCTTGATTCCTTTAGCTCATTACTTATCTTTGCTGCTGTTGTTGTTTTATGTTTTGTGTAGGACAGGGTTTTGTTATACAGTTTTGCTGTCCAGACAGGAATGGAACTCACTATGTAGCCCAGACTATCCTTGAACTCTTGATCCTCCTGCCCCAGCCTCCCAAGTGCTAGGATTACAAATGAGCACCCCGACCCCATGCTTCACTGCTTCCTAGTGCTGATTGGGCTTCCCTATGAAGGAGCCTTTGAACTTCAATGAAGACCTCTCAGCTTATTTTGTAGTTAGAGAAATACGGCAACAATTAGGTGTTTAATGTGTCCAATGGTGAAAATATTAGGAAGAAGACAAGCAAGGTCAGAGAAGAGCCAGAGGCAAGGTCTTTCCAGAGGGTGGGAGAAGGCCGTTCTCAATGAATCATCACTGGAGTCCTGCAGGACCAAGGGTATGCAGAGACAATCCAGAGGAGAGTATATGAAGCCAAAGAATAATGGGAGTTGAGTAATTAGAATCTTTTCAGATCATTCAGAGTAACACACAGAAAAGAGAAATACATGTGCATATGTAAAATGACCTTAAACCAGATCACATGACTTGCTTGTCTTGGTAATCCTCCCCCAGCATGAAGTTCAAGAAGGATGCTACTGGCCACTGAGATGTCTAGTCCTTTTCTCTTTTCTCACCTTCTTCTCTGTGGAGCCTCCCCCAAGCCCTAGGAGTTGTTCCTAGTCTAAAGCAGAGAACAGATTCTCCTCATGCATCACACTGATCAGAGCAGGGAACTGATTTACTGTTGCAGGTAGACTGGGCTCCAAGTTAGGTCAAGCGGGTATTTTCATGATGGTAGTGACTTCGACTCTCTCAGGGCAAAACTCTTCAGTGTGTTTCTTGCTCTCTCCTCACTGAGCAAGATTTGGGTTTGCAGGTGGTGGCAGCTACTGACATCAGCCACACTTTTACTGTGACTTATAATTGGTCTCTAAGATCTTCCAGTTTGGAAGTTCTCTTTTGATTTTTAATCATTTGTTAACACTGAGACCCAGTTCAACAGGAGTTCTCTGAGGAGTTAAAGACTGTGCACCAGATGGACTGGGACATGGTTCAGTAGGTAAATCACTTGCCAAGAAAGCCTAGCGACCAGAGTGTGATTCCCAGAAGACATGGGGGAAGGGGAGAACTGAATCCTGAAAGTTGTCTTCTGACCTCCCATACATGCTATGGCATGTTTGTGTACACACACACACACACACACACACACACACACACACTAATAAATTAGAATAAAGAATTCTGCACCTTATGATCAATTTAAAATGATAGTCTAAATTATTTTGGTAAAGGTCAGATGACATCTTTTGGAAAAAGAATAAAAAATAGAATCTGATTGTCCAGGGCTCTTCAAGGCCTATAGCTCAAATTGCTATACTCAGCTACTACTCTTTGAAAGTTGTATTAGTCTATTGCTATGATAAACATGGCCAAAAAGCAACCTGGAGGGGAAAGGGTTGATCTCGTCTTACAGACTGCAGTCCATCACAAAGGGAAGTTGAGGTAGGACCTGAAGCAGAGGCTGTGAGGAATAACACTTATTGGCCTATTACCAATGCTGTACTTATTTGCTTTCTTATACCACCCAGGACCACCTACCTGCCCATGGATGGCATTACTCAGATTGGGCTTGGCCCTCCCACATCAATAATTAATCAAGAGAATGCCCCACAGTCCTGCCTACCAATCTGAGTCACTGTTCCAAATGTGTATGTGTTGTGTGTGTGTGTGTGTGTGTGTGTGTGTGTGTGTGTGTGTGTGTGTGTGAGAGAGAGAGAGAGAGAGAGAGAGAGAGAGAGAGAGAGAGACAGACAGACAGATAGACAGACAGACAGACAGACAGACAGAGAGAAAACACCTATGTTTCAGATGTAAATTAAAAAATAGTTCCTGCCCTTTAGAAAGACAAACCCTGTTTTTCTTTTCCTGTGTTTGAACCACTTTCCCCTCTGCTCTTGCTGTAGACAGTTGGACAGTGATCATCTTTCTCACACTACCGAGTAGCAATCTACATTTCCCCTCTGCTCTTACTGTAGACAGTTGGACAGTGATCATCTTTCTCACGCTACCGAGTAGCAATCTACATGGAAGGTGTAGATGGGAGGTGAATGCCTTCACCTCTAGCTTCAGTTCTCCAGACTAGCTTAGGTTTAAAACTGGTACTGCCAACAGGAAAGTGTACGTCAAGTATACACAATGGGACAAGTGAGCTGAGCTAGGTTAGGTCATAAGAGGTCATCACAGAGAGTTCAAGAAAGGATTTGAGTACCTTGAATGAATGAGTGGGTCATGAGGAAGCCAGTCTTAGCAAGGTAGTGAGAGAGGGTCACTTAACTACTGATGGCAGAGTGGCCATGGCTTTGGGGAGTCATCTTACAACCTCTTTGGAAGTCATAGAGACTATGGCCCTGAGTTTGATAGAAAGTACTCATTATATATTGCTCAGAAAAGAAAAGGAGCGTTAACATGTTTCTGGAATTTTAATAAGAAGCATTGGTTAATAAGTGGTTGATAATGAAATAGAGAAGCACCCATAGTCAACCCAGACTTGAAGCAACTTGACTCAGCACTGCCCGTTTATAATTATAGCACATGCTCTAATTAGATGCATGATGGATCAGAACTTCACAAAATCCAGTTTCAGTCTAGAGGATCAGAAAGGAAGATTTTCAAGTCTTTGGGTGGCTGACTCAATTTTCCTTGATGAGTTTCATTCAAGTTTAAAGTCGAGATGAAAGAGTCCACTGTTTATCATTCTTCCCGTTGCAGGGCTGTCCCTAGTAAGGTGTGGACTCTTCTCACCTGTGCTACAAATCAGATCAGTCAGAAGCAGGATCACGTGACTGCTCTGGTTTCCTCAATATTTGCTTGTGTCTCTGTCACCTGTCACCTGTGAGTGGTTGAGGATTCCGGCCCGCCTTGTATCTCAGTTTTAGGAAAATTTTACTGAATATTCATGGCAACTATTTTTTTTTCCAGTTTATAAGTGCAAAGGCTCTCTCTCTATTTGATCCTGTGTAAGTGTGTGGATACTTCATTCTGAATGTCACCCTGAAGATAGGAAAGAAGGTGGGAATCATAGCAGAATTGGATAATTGGCACAAGAGGGTGTTTAATCTAAGTGCTGGAAGATTTCTAAGCTGCCTCTGTATCTGTGCCTATTGCTTTGTGTAATTCTTCAGGGTGTTTCCAGGCATTTTATCAAGATGGATGGACTGATTAAGCAGCCCTCTTGGTATGTGTGCAGCAATCAGTGAATGTGAGCATGGTCAGGGATGGAGAAATTCATGCCTGGGATTTCCCGTCCTAACTGACATGAAAAAAAATCAGGGTTCCTCAAAATAGGGATGTCTTATCACACTATTGTTAAAATCAGTTGTATGCAAATCCAAAATTAGGAAAATCTTCTTAACAGATCAAAGTGGAAGCTAGAACCTCATGCTTGGTTCTTTCTAATGGAATCATTTTGTAGGCATGTAACATGCAGTATTATAAGATTAAATGGAATCTCCAATCATCACATGAGATGCAAATTTCATTCTGTGATAAGAGATTATTTCAAAGTAATCTTGATGAGACCATAAAATAACATTAAAATGGAGAATGCAATTTGAAAAATTAATGTGATTAACTTGTAAAAATTAAATATATGAGCCTGGAGAGATAGCTTAGTAGTTAAGAGTACTTGCTGCTCTTTAGAGGATCTGGATTTGGTTCCTAGTACTCACATCTAGTGACTCCTGTAACTGTAGCTCCAGAATGTCCTCCATGGGCATTGGCACACATGTGTTCATACAAGCACATACACACAAACATACACAAATAAGCAAACAAATAAATAGATATTATGCGCTTATCCAATTACAATAGGAAAGCACACAATGGCTTACTATGAGACCATTTGAACCCATTCCTTTGAAAGGATTCTCATAAAATGATTTTGCCAAAAGACTAGTTGCTAGAACTTCAAATTTCTAGTTTTTTCTCTTTTTTGGGGGGGGCATGTTGTTTCTTTTTATAAAGAATGAATGCATGTATCCACCAGCCTGAGACTCTGGGAGATAGAAAAATTACAGATTCTGCCTTCCTGAACTTCATATTTTGGTTGGAGAGACATGGACAAGATACTCATACAAGAAATCTTTGAGGTAAACCAGACATTGTGGCATATGCCTTCAATCCCAGCACCCAGGAGGCAGAGGCCAGTCAACTACAGAGCTAGTTCCAGGACATCCAGGGCTACACAAGAAAACCATGTCTTAAAAAACCAACCAACCAACCAAACAAACAAACAAATAAAAATAAAACCTTACCTGGCAGGGGAGATACCATGGTCGTGAAGGTGGTTTTCCCAGGGAGAGGCTTATCCATTGCACCCTGGAGGTGCTGACCCTGTGATTTCTCCAAGTGTGGAAAACTCAACTGCATAATTTGTGGTAGGAGACTGCACCCATTCTCTTCTCTGGTGGGAGGAATCTCTGAGGTGTCGGGATGGATCCTACAGGTTCTAGGAGAATAGAGATGCAGTGTGATTGAAATACTGAGGAAACGTTGTTGTTTTAAAAATTTGTGATTTGACCAGGCGGTGGTGGCGCACGCCTTTAATCCCAGCACTCGAGAGGCAGAGGCAGGCGGATCTCTGTGAGTTCGAGGCCAGCCTGGGCTACCAAGTGAGTTCCAGGAAAGGTGCAAAGCTACACAGAGAAACCCTATCTCGAAAAATCAAAAAAAATTTGTGATTTGATGAATAGATAAGACCTGAAAAGGAGAGAAAACAAGATGGAAGGGGGGGCCATGGTGCACCCAATGAGGAGCAAGAGAAAATAAAAACAGAACTTAATTTAGTAAGCAATGACTGAGTAATTGGGTGCCTATGAAGAAACATGGCACTGTATGCCAAGATCTTGGCTATCCTGAAGCCCAGTCTCCAATGTGACGAGGAAACAAAACAAAGAATAAAGAAAATAAGAAAGACTCATTTAGATAATGAATTGCATTTAAGGGAATTAATAGTTTCAATGACAGAAAAAGGCAGGGGATGTGGGGCAGATATGTGTTCAGTATTTCCTTGCTTTAATGCACATGTGCATTTCCCAGGATCTTACTAAGACTTAGATTTAGACTTAATGTATGAGATGAGGCTTAAAGTTTGCATTAAAATGAAACAAAAATCTCAGATGGCATGAGTGCCTTCTTCACCTACCCCAGGATAAGTGGTAAGGCTTTATAAAACATGGTCTGAGGATATAGGGATAAAATGATGGCCAGAGCACAGGAGTCCTGGTAGGGCAGGGTAAGAAAGAAGCTTGAAAGGGAAGGAAAAGAGGAAGATCTGGATCACATTGAGGGGTCTAACACCCAACTAGGAGTCAGGACTTCATCAAGGAGGCTCATGCTCAAGATGCCTAATTTGTTAGTCAGATAAAGATGGAGCCTCAGCCAGCTTACTAACCTGTGGCCCTTTCAGGGCATATGTGGAAAATGATGCTGGTACTGCATAGTAGGGGGGATCTAGACCCAGAGAATAAAGAATTAAAGAAATAGGACTGCAATAGTCCTACCACGTTTTTTTGTTTTTTTTTTTGTTTTTTTTTTTTTTTTAATTGCAGCATCATCGGACACCAGACATCCTGGGAATTGAACCTGGTTCCTTTGGAACATCAGTCAGTGCTCTTCACCACTGAGCCAACTCTCTCCTCTCAATCCTATCACTCCTTAATGAGCCCCTATTGATAGGAAGGAAAGAGCTAGCAGGATCAACATCTAAACAGAAAGTGGGAGAAATTTGTGTGTTTGTTCATCATGTAGGATTGTGTTAGGGAAGGGAAATTCTGTCAAAAACTCCAATGGGAGTGAACACATGTCATAGGGATTCAAGTGCAAGTTCTGCCCCAGAGTTTAAAATTTTTTTAAATCAACCCGTAAGAGTTTCAAATGTGTACATATGTAATTCCATTTAGGATACCATATGGGGAGAGATGAGCAATACCAGGCTGAACTTTGGGGCATATTTATGACCCGAGGAAGGATGAAGAGGCATAGGTAAGAGCAGGAAGGCCCTGGGGAGACACTGAAAAGATGAGGAGTCATTGGAAATAGTCCCTGTCCTTATGGGAACCAGATGTCGTGTGATAATGGGACTTTGGCTACTGTCACAGTCATTGATTCCCACCACTCTGCAATCCTTCTTCCACCAAAGTTCTCTATTGGACCACAGTTTTGAGGATTGGTGGCCAGGTCACCTAGGAAAGGACTGCCATCTCTGTGTAGAGGGGAGAGAAGAAGAGATGGGAAGACACAGTGCAGGGAGGGAAAACCACTAGGCTGACACAACTGTGGTGGTCCCAGGAAAAAATATAGTGCACCATTGCAGTGCATCCTTGGGGGGCACGGACGACAGGGCAGTGCTCCTTTGTGACTCATTGGCGTACAGAAACTGAGTCCTAGGCACATGAAGGTCAGTACACTTGTTATCAGTGAGTTCAGAAGGACTCCGCCTTCCTTGGTGTTCAGTGTAGCATTCTTTCTATTCAGTCAAGGTGAACAAGTGTGAAATGTGAGGATATATGCAGCATACCTTGCCGGGAGTAGGTGGGAACCCTGGTTCTTGCATTCATTGACATTAGCCTTGGGCTTATGTCAATGCTTTGGTACATAAGGTGACCTTCTTATGTTTACAGAATTCCATATGTCATAAATATAAGAAAGCTTTCAATGCATATTGTGGGCAGTTCCACACATCAATACTAGATGGCAGCCCAGCACTGCCTTTGGGTACTGAGGAGTCTCGCCTGATTCTCTACCCAGCACCAATGGAAAATTTTAGATGTTTTCAGAAGGGCTTCAATGGGAAAATTTACAGAAATAAGTAAATGATGCTGATGACACATTTGTTCACCGCCTTTCTCCAAACCACTTTTTAAATTACAAATAAGACATGCAATTTAATGAGATGGTAAAAACTGAAGACAACCAAAAAATAGGCAGAGAATGTAAATAGCTATTTTATAGGAGCAATGCATAAGGCAAGAGCCATATGCAGTGTTTAACTTCTTGGGAGAAGAGAAATTAAAATTATGTAAGTATGATTTTATTACCTCTTGATCTGATAGAAACATTTCCACAAGTTCTAATCTAGAGAAAAATTAGAGATGCAGTTAAAGATCTATGCACAAGTATCCTTCTTGATGCTTTATTTATGATAATCTAAAGACATTAATTCTTAGAAGATGCTATTCCCTACAGTAGGATATTATACATTCTTAATTGATTTGGCTTTATGTTTTAGTCAGCCTCTAACACAATTATATGCATTAGAATCAGTTAATATAAAAATGCGGACACGTGATTCATAAAAAACACAGAGAGAAGAGGGGCAGGCAGCCTCTTTGGGGAGGGAGAGGGATGGGATTTGTGTGGATTTGAGTCATCAGGAGAAATGATGGGATACAATTTCTACTATCAGGCCATTGCTTGGCTGGTGATAAAGCAGACTCATGACCAAATGGATCACTATGGTCACCTAGCAAGGAATCTGCAGGAGTATCACAGGATGGAAACCTAGGTCTTTTCCTTAAGACATTTTTTTCTGGAGTCCCATGAGTGTGTGGGGGCCTCAGTGTAACACTCAGGGATGCTGTCAGTACACAGGTTTCTGTGGCAATTAAGAAGGAAACAAGTCAGTAAAACAGGAAGAATCTTCTCCCTCCTGAGTAATACAGAAATATCTGTACCCATTTTGCTCTATTGACAAATGTATTAATCTGCTTTTAATTTCTTTCTTAGCACATTCCTATGCATCATATACTATCTTTTATGAAAAGCAGGAAAATTTTGCTTTCAGTAAAGACATGAATGAATGATACTAAGGAAAAATTGATCACGTGGTTTGACCAAGAGTTTGCTTGTTGCATTCATTTAGAAAAATATGAATCAAGTGTTTGATTTATTTATCTACTGACCTTATCGAGCCAGTTTCCGAATGCTCTCTAGCAGGTAAAATAAAGGAAGCCTTTTTCGTCATGCTTCAGCACTTCAGTAACTATAATGAAAAAGATTATATAGAAGTCAGTCTTGGAATGCAGTGCCAAATTAAAAATTTAACAAGCTTTAATCTAGATGAGCATATTTTTAAATAATAACCTAATATAGTTTCTTATTAGCAGCATCACAATCTGGATGTGGTCAGAGTCCTGGTATTTTTGCTTTACCTACCAGCCAGCCAGCTTGAAAACTGATGGAGGAGTCACTTCTGCAATGGCCCTCTGGTTCCATCAATTTTGGTATTTTTAAATTCTTAAAATAGTTTACTTTTTCAAGTTAAAACTTTCTTACATATAAATATATATATATATGTCAAGCATATTTCTTCACCCCTTTGTCTTCTCTCTTTAGCAATTTGCATTTTTATTTTTTAACATGAACAATAAAAAGTTACATCAAAGTACTAGCTAATAGCATTTTTTTCACTAGATCCTGAACTTTGACAATGAGATCTTTCAAGTTCTTTCTTAAAATTTTATCCTGAATAGGAAAACATATTTCTGTGTGCGCTCTGAGATATTTGGGCATATACTATTTCCAGGCTCCCACTGAGGCAAGGATAGAAACCCAGGGGATGAGGTGAAATGATAGTGCTGTTGACCTATTAGAATAATTTCCATGGAGAATCGTATATGTGATAGGGGTGGGAACAGTGGCAACTGTCCCCCTGAGTCCTCTTAATTCATAGAACTGCTGGAATGTTTGAGTAGGTTTTCCAGGACAGGTTAAAACCTTCTCAAATGAGACTGATGAAACAATAGATTTTATTATAATGAAACACAAAAGAAGCACTTAATATTATTTATTAATTTAAAAAATGCATATGCTTGACCCATGTATAATCTGCCCTTTATCTGTACAGTTGATGTTATGAGACAAAGAAAGAAGAACAATTTTTAGCAATTACAATCTTGGAGCTCTCTGGAACATTGAGAAAGGTAGTTCTTTATATTTTTGTTCATAATTTTGTTTGGGAGTAAATTTGAAAGCATCGTAAGAAACATCTGCATGTTTGGTAGAGGGTCATAGAATCTCTCTTTTATTTGAGTTTCCTTGCTCATCTGTGTGGGCAGGATTTTTGCAGTGTGAATGGTCTGGATCATCTTTCATTTTATTCCATAGCCAGAAATATAGATGATAACTTGCTTTTGGCTTCCTGATGTCTCAGTAACTTCAGAGTCTAAAAACCCACAGGGACCTCCTGCTCTGGTTCTCACTGTCAAGCCAAGAAGATCAAACACCCCCAAAGTTAGGAATGGCCCAAGGTCAATGGTAGAGCTGCAGCAGAGACTAGGGTCTCTTCCTTGACTAAAGTGTGCAATTTTTCTACATCACTCTTACTTTGCAGGTCTCGCCACCTTTTCAGCAATGTGTTAAGGACTTGCCTTTGAGTATGGGCTCACTAGTGACACCCATGATGAC